GACGAAGCAAAGCGCCGGGGTCTCAGGGTTCAGGTGCCGGTTCCGAAAGGCTTGTGCCGCGGTGTGTGCTCCCAGTAGCCCCTATTGTCTGCGGTGGGGGCAGGGCCAAGCCAGGAGAGCCGGCTTTTGAGAAGAATTGAAGGCACTGGAGGATGAGGAGCGGAGGTGGGGACAAGCGATGTCACCGAGTGTAACCCCCAAGGTTTCAAATGCTCGACCCCGAAGGCGTTTGAGGAAGCAGTGGTACCAGCCGCCGCAGCAGCGGCCCTGGCTGYAAATCGCCGTCGTGTGGTTGCTACTGGCAACCGAGCCTCTGCCGAGCGCGCAGCCCKCAGCCCCAGGAACGAAGGTGGCAAGGGGAAGCCGCTGCGGCTCAGCAGCGACGTCGCCTCGGCCACCCACAGGGCTTTCGCTCCCTCCTAAGCCCTGCAGGTCTTTGGGGCTTTGACTTAGGCTGTGTGGSGCGAAGGGCCAAAGGACTCGGGATTTGGGGGCGTCGCTGATTCGGAAGCGTCAAAACACTGGAGCCCAGCGTGAATGCAACATGGCAGCTCGGTCTCGAAGACTGGGATCATTCGGTCTCTCTGGGAGGCAGGCCCGCGGATTCTGCTGAGCGCCCGCAGGCGGGTTTCCAGACCCAGAGTCAACCCTGCTGCGCCCCCGACAGAGTCCCACAGAGCCAAGGGAGCCGCGCACCCCGACTCGCGTTGCCTTCACCCCTTAGCCCTTTGTTCTCCACTCACTAGCCACTCACGCTTTGGGGGATTTAAATTGCAACCCTCGAAGATTTGGCGACCCAAAGTGGGGACTCCAGACTCTGGTACTCCATAGTAGTGACTGCCTTTCCTGGTCCCCGGGAGTTCTGGGCACAGCTGGGCAGAGCTGTGGTCCTAACCCCACACTTCAACGGAGCCGCCCCTCGTCGGATCGCCTATTTCCCACCAGGCCTCGACTCCTTCTTTCCCTTCTTCACTATCTAAAGGTGTGAGGCGGGAAGCCAGGGCAGAGACACTATGGGGCCAAAAACAAAGTCCATCAAGACCCCAAAGGAGATAAGATTTCTCTGCCCCGGGGAGAGGAAAGAATTGCCCCAGTCCCGGAAAAATAGAGTACAAAACGCCCCTTAAGGGACACCCTAAGTTCCATCACCCCCCCCCCTTTTTTTATTGGCCGTTGAGCACGGGTGTCGGCAGGTGGAGCTCCAGAAAATGTCCCCTGGCCCACCCRAGATGGAGAGAGCGCAGCTGCTGTACTGCCCGAGGGATGAGCTGAGCTCCAGATCGTTCCACCGGGAGTTGGGGAGTAAGGGCTCAATGCCCCCAGAGGAGGCAAGCTGGGGGGAAATTTACATTTGGAAAAACAGCGATTAAAAAAAAAAAAAGAGGATGCCACGTAGACTAGCCAGTTGTGACATTCAGCACAAAGTGCTACTGAAATACCGAAATCCGCCACCAAATGGCGGCTCCTGCAGCCAGCTGCACTGATAAAGAGGACTCTCCAAGCGTCGCCCATTTTAGGCTGCTTTCACTTCTCCGAGGTTCTCCAAACCCTTTCCCCAGGTCTCTTCTTCCTCTCCCAGTGGGGCCCCGGGTCAAGGAAATGTTAATGCCCTTGGAATCCAGCGAACCCCTGCTCTGCAGGAAGCCGCCTGGTCCGGGCAGCTTTTGGAGACGTTGTCCCCGTCTCACACCCGCCTCCGCCTCTGTGCGCGGCCAGTAAGTAGCCAGAGGGCGATAACCTCCCAGATTCGCCCAGCCGGGAAACCCATTTAGGGTCCTAAGGTACGATATTTTGACCAGATCTTGATATTCCTGACCGCGCAGCCACTCCCCTCAACACTGTCACCACCCCAAGGTTCCTACTCAGGGGATTAACAAGCTCAGCAAGAAGCTCTCCACTTGTTCTATCCCGTCACCTCGCACAAAGTCACCTTGGGGAACCTTGGCAGTTAGTATTTGCTAATAATTTTGTTTAAAATCCCACCCAACAAAATAAACAAAGTACAATGACACCTCTTTGTTGAAGGAGAAAGGGTTTGGGATTTGAAGCGGGAAAAGGGAGGAAGACAAAGACGCGATTCCTGTGCTTGGTTCTCATTAAAACGCGTCTGTGGATTCTGCCTGCGAAGCGCTTCGTCCTGCTACTCCAGGTAGGGTCGGTTTCCTGCCCTCGCAGACCTTGGGGTCTGTGGGTTTACCTCCGCGCCTCGGCTACCAGAGGCCCCCACAAAGTGCAAGCCTGCGAAAGGAAAGTGTCCACCTTGAGAGGTTGCAAGCGTCCAGGCTGTCGCCGCTGCTCACCACCGGACCCGATTTGGGTGGACTACGTCATCTCCCGACCTCTCGGAGCCCTGTACGGCCTGACAATCTAGCTTTCAAATTTGGCGGGAGCCGCGTACGCCGAGTGGAGGGCGGCGCGCGGCGAGTGGCGCACGCGCAAAATGGCCTCCTGGTTACCCGCGACTGCGGCTCGCGCGCAGAGAGCAAGAGCGCCTGCTGCGCAGTTCGGAACCGGATTGGAGCTGTAGCTCTTTGCACTCCTCTGAAAGCTAATGGTTAAAAAATAAGGAAAGGGAGAAGAGCTGTTTTCTCCTTAACTGCTCTTTTGGTAAAGGCCGTCCTGACCGAGAAGGCAGCGCTGCAAGCGAAGCGAGGTCATTTCACCCAGGTGGGTGTCCTTTCCACAGAGCGCTAGAACCGAAGAAGCGGGTTTTTCCTCTTTTGGTGGAAAGCCATGGCTCTTCCTCACTCTGTACACCCTCGTCCTGGGCTTTAGCTTCCGCACCGCGCATTGTGCTCCCGATTTCCCCTTTGTTGGAATATCTTACACTTCCAGGGTCATTTGGACCTAAGTCGGGCTTGACAGACTCCTCTATCTCCAGTGACCTCTTAATTTACCTCTGTAGCGTTCTCATCCTTCCCATCCCAATTTGGGAGGAGTACCCACGTCGGCAGACTTCCACCTAAGTCTGTGCTCTCATCTTGGGTTCTAGATAATGTAGGAGAACATAGAGTTGGAGATCTCTGAACTGGCACGGAACTTGAAATCACCTTCGCTGTGAAGTTTGGATCCTATGATGACCCAACAGTCAGAGCAAGAAGGAGTATTTCTACCGGAGTGTAAATGATTCTGAGGGAGCAACACCTGTGTTTTTATAAGTTACTTATGATAATTTCTGGAAGGAATTTTTTTTAAGGCAAGGATCAGAAGAATGAGTAACTTAATTCATTGAAAGTTTTTATTGGATGTTTATTATTTATTTAGAGGGCTAAATGAGATTTCAGAATGAGTTTTACCCTTGAACTTCTTCAAGAAACTCACAAGGATCCTATAAGCAGACTTCCAGTGATAAATAACTTTTGATGTCGTCGACCTAATGAAGACAGACAATGTAGTTCTTCATGTGAGACCTCCAGAAATTGCACACTAAGAAAAAGAAACTAGTGCAAATAAAGGAAATCCGTTTCAAGAACCCAAAGATGAAAAAAAAAAAGTTAAAAAATTAACTGCGGAAACAGGAAACACTCGACTGTGTAAACATTTTCTGAGACTTTCATAATCAAAACTGGGTGATCTTGAAATTTGTAGAAAGACTTGACCGGCTCAAGATCTCCCCCAGGGCTATTTCCTAAGTCTGATTTATTGGGAGGCTGGAATACATAATACTTTGTACCTTCCTTCTGTAGAACCTATTTGATTCTATGGTCCCAGTTCAATTCAAGCGTTTGTGTGTGTGCGCCTGTGTGTAGGAGCCAGACGATTTTTTAGAGCAAGTTTAGAAATAATTACCTATACTAGAGTTCATTTTGAACGTGAAGAAACACTCAAGAAATGATATATCTAATCCAAAACCTTGGTGTTAGGGCTGGGTTCTGTGCTCTGTACCACTTTAAATGTCTTAAAGGCATATACGATTTTTGTAAASGGTTTAATTAGTATACTGCACAGACCTGACATGATAAAACTATAGCCATTTTTATGTAAACTGATCAAGAGCTTTTTGTTTGTAATAAAACTCAAGGAAGACTATATGGGGGAACATCCATAAGGTTCAAAAATACAATAGAGCCTCTGTTTCATGTAAGTACTAAACTAATTCAGAATTTCCGACTGTCATTTCTGGTGCAATGGGAAGAAAAAGATGAGAGGAATGAAAACATTTAACACTTCCTTCACCCCAGGATTTGAAGAGAGACCAGGTTCCAGGTGCAGATTGTTTCTAAAATCTCATCCCATCCAAAGATTATCATAAGCTATTTAAAAAGATCAAATGTCTTCATTTCATATTGGTCAATGCAAGTAGCCTTTCACATGGGTACTTAAGGTCTTACTAAACTTTCATCACAAAACTTTTATCTTGACAGGCCTACACAATAAAGATATTGAAAGACTTCACAAATGAATTGTAATCCCAAATATTGGGAAAAGAGTAAAGGATGAAGGAAAAATTCTACCAGTTTACTCTTTCTTCTCCATTTTACCTACAAATCCTAACATTTGAACATATGGATATGGAAACGAAGCAATGTGGTTGGATGAGTTAAGTCAACTAAAGGGCAACTTTCTTTTTTCAACTCAGTGCAATTAACGGCCGGCAATTTAAAAAGGAAAAAGTACTTGTGAAGTGGTATGCAAGTGTAAAGCAAGACAGATTACTATTTATACAAGAGCAACCAGTCTCATTTTTCTTTCTGCATTTAAGCTAAAAATCTGTGAAATCAATTTAGGCATTTTCTGTGGATTATTTTATTAGAACTAACTTTGTATTAAGGATTCTAGAATACTGTCACAAGCAAAAGTCAAACTCTAAAGCTGACTTTTCGTGTACTTTGCTTTGACAAACTGATTTTCACAAGGTTAAGATTTTTAAAGTAGTAGTTCAGTAAATGTTTTAAATCTTAATTGTCAAAACTGCAATAGTTAAGAATGCAAACCACGATCAAGTTTTTATTAAAAGGCAAAGAAATTTCAGCTGAAATATCCTTTTAAATTTAGGCAATTTTCAAATTGAGTAGGGACAAATATCCGCTTCCAAATAAAATAAAGGGAATAAGTCACAAGTATGGTGAAATAGTGCTAAGGAAGCCATAAATGCATCTGATATTTTAATAATTTCAAAAATAAGTCCATCATAAAGAGGTTGAGATAGATGTCAAGTCTTTTGAGTTCTGTGATTTCAAAACTTGGTTTTGTGTAAGTCAAATGACAAGTCCACCAGCATTTACAGTTTTTAGGTTTTGAAAAATATCTTTTCATTCTTTATACACATGATCATCTAAAGTAAAAAACAGTACTTGAAACTTGCATCAACTAACTTTTCTTTGTCATAGATAACATGAAAAATATAGAAGCCTAGAAAAATGAGTTAAATTCACCAAAATTGGCAAACATTGGTAACTTTTACTTCAAAGATTTTATAGTAAATAAACAGATACATCTTTCAGTGGGTTCTCAAGCAATATACAACAAAGCGTGTACTTCTTACCAACATCACTATAAGACAGCAATGTATTCTCTTTAACTTTTACCTGTTGGTAATCCACTACAGGGTTTCCAAAACTTCTGCACATTGTGCTTTTCATATCAAATTTTTATTAAAGATCTTAGCTATTTTCTAAATGAATATCTTTTTTATTGGACTTTTCCCAATTACAAATGAAATTTCATTTTACATCTATAATTAGAAACAACACTTACTATGGGACTGTACAAATTTAGGTCAAAATAAAAATATATGTATTTTGTAGCTTCATAAAACATCATTTACTGAATCTTTAAAGAAAGTAGAAGTAACAGCAATATATGTAAAAGTAATGATTTAATGACTATAAGCAAGAAAAAGCAATAGAATTGTGCTTCTTTTGCAGACTGAGGACAATGAAATGTTTAGCTACAATTTTCCATACAAACATGAAACAATATTCATATAGAATAAACACCCTCACAAATAACTGATGGGTGATGAACAAACACCAAGTTCGACCAAAGCAAAACATAAACTGAAAAGTGTTGGGTTGTTTATGTTTTAAATTTAACATGCTTGCTCTATTTAAAAAATATCTGTAGAAGTTCATAATAAATTGCTTGTATTTCCAGACATTACAGAGAAGGCATATTCCATTGTTAATTGTTGTTAAAGCAATACTTAAGTTTGAAATTATTCTTATATCACATATTAAAATAACTTTAGATAAAATGCCTTCTTCCAGCAATTAGCTGGTTTATTTAAAAAATTTGTTTTAGAATTAGTGACAAATATGCATTTTAAAAACACATTAATTCCACTATAACCAATGGAAAGTTAAAACACTATTTTCATATTCTTTAAAGCTTTTCTTAACTAAACAATAATTTTCAAAGCAAACATGATTATTGGAGGAAAGTCAGTATCATGATGACTTGCCAATTGCTTCCAATGAACAGAATTTAGAATTAGATATCCATGTTGGAAATAATTTATGCTGATAAAAGCAAGGCTCAACATAGGGCATGGGAATCTGCAAAGGTCGAACCAGCTGGCAGAATTTTAACAACCATTTCTGAATGCATGAAACACAATATTTTCTTTATAGTATTTATAAATATATCATACAATACTGTTTCCTGTTATGTCATATACCAATATGGCATTGTACAACAAGCATAATGCCATCTGATTCTTACAAAAGCGAATCATTTAAACAAGTCAGTAAAATAAAGGGTAGTACCCGCTTTTAGGCATACAGATTGTAAAACTGAAGTTTACTTTCCTTTGATCGGTTTTGCGTTTTGCGTAGCAACAGAGAAGTAAAAATCAAACAGGAATCAAAATGGCTAAATATGCAAGAAATTGTTATTCACAGTGACATGGCTACATAGAATGCATTATTCTATGCTTATTCTTTCTGTTTGTTGAATTTCAAGATAAAAAGCACTTGTTTTCTACAGGTTCACAAAACAGCATAATAACAAGAACAATCAAGGAGAATGTAATGTAGGTGTTAATTGAGATTAACAAACTATGGCCCAATGCTTCTATCCACTGCAGAGTATTTCCAAACCCAAACAATGGTTACAGAAACCATTTCACATCTTTCCTAACACACAGGAAACAAAACAAAACAAAAAACAAAAACCTTGCCTGCCTTCTCAGAATCCAATTCTTTATAGGAACAATCTTTCTTTTCAATTAACGTCCATATGAATATCACAGCTAGTCCATCTTTTATAGTCAAATTTAATGTCACTACAAAAGAAAGCAAATTGGACGATAGTCACATGTATTAGCATCTATAAAGCTGTAATGGCATGAAGATATCTATATAAATCAGGGGTTTAAATTTTTTTCCTTAATAGTCTCAGGAATCAACCAGATGAAGTTGCTGACGACCCATTTACAGATGATTTTCGAGGTCTATTGGCAAAGGAAGATTGGTGGTTACCGCTGGGGCTGTTGCTGGTTCCATTCATAGTACTGGAAATGTGAGGAAACTGTGGATGAGGAGACTGCACTGGAGTACTGGGGCTAGGCAAACAAGAAGAGGTGGAGGGAATACCTCCTGCTGGGCTGTTGGCCTTGTCACTCCCAGAGTCACTTTCCAGTTCTCCAGCATTTGTCAGTCCATCCCTCTGGTGACTGATCTTCATTCTTTTACAAGTAGGTCGAACTCTATATTTCAAAGGAAGTGGMCCATTCTACAAAGTTAAAAGGGAAAAAAAATCACTCTTAACTTTACATGCACTGGATCACCTTAATCTAAGAGTAGATAATACTACTTACCCTTCTCCAGGTATAAATGTAGGCAATATCCATTAGTGTATAGTAATCTTTCAAAGGTTCCTCTTCATACATAACATCAATCTATTGAGAGGTATTTCAATTATTAAGTAACAAAAGAACAAAGATAAATCTACAAGCTTTTCTCATCTAAATATAATTCGAGAGTGCGAGAGTGCTTTAATTTTTTTTTCTCCAGACACTTGGTCAAAGAATTCTTCACATTTCAAATGGAAAACATTTACAGAAATTATTAAGGGATTTGTTTTCATGGAATAAAAAATATCCAAAATATTTTAAGAGATATATTAAACTTTAACACTAAATTTAATTTTTTTAATATTGATTTTTAGATTTCAGGATCCAGAAAGAAAAAAAATTGAATTAAAAAAATCTACATAAAATACATGAAAGCTATAAAGAAGGTACCTGGAAAGTATTAGGTATGTCCATTTTACTTCTGAGAAACTTTCTTAAGTGCATCACAGTCATTGCTGCTGGGCATCGTAAATATCTTTTATCATTCACCTAAGAGTACATGTACAAAAGTAATTTTTTTCAATTCCTAACTTTCAGAGAAGAAGAAAGTTTCAATTCAATTGCCTAAATGTGATATAAGGCACTAATACCAAAATCAGATGCAACTAAACTCAACTATACTTTGAATTTACTATTATAATGAATACTAAATGAATTAATTTCTAGTACACTTGAAGTACATTAAGATATTAAACATGAACTATGTAAAATAATTTGTAAGAGCAACCATATATAAAGTAAATTCTAATTATCAAATATCCTATGTAGATCCCTCACAAACATTGAACATGACCATTTTCTTCTAATTATCAGCAGCACTTGACCCCAGAATATTCTAAAGAGCAACAAAACCCTTCATAAAATCTAGAATCCATAATTCTTCACCATTTTTATAATACAGAACATACCTCCTCCTTAGACTTCTCTTTGTCTTTGTTTACTTTGCGATCCAATCTAAGAAATAAAAACTTATTAGTGAAACAATGTATCTAATAGACATATTAGCATAAGACAGATTTCCTAGAGAATTTACCTATTCTGGTCAAAGAATTCAATAGATAAGCTTATAATCTCATCATCAGTTATAATTCTCTTATCTTCATCTGCAACTTCTCCTCTATCTTCATTAGAGCCATTGGCAGCTATAAAGACATTACAAAATTTAATATTTTAATAATTAGACATTTAAAACATTTTAGACATAGGAAAATGGAAGGGGTACTCTGAAGTAAACTCAATTTTAATAAATTTTAATTACTATATAAGTCTCCCCCCAAATAAAATAATTTCTACCCCCCACCCCCCTCACAAAGTTTACCATCAGCTGAAGGATGAGCTGCATAAAAATCCCTTCTTCTCTTCATTTCATCTATGGGGAGGGGGGAGACGAGATTCAAACATTTGGTATAGCAGATAAAACCAATGAATAATCTTTTAAAATTCTTGCAAGCAAGTTACTCACTTTTGAAAAGCCCTGGAACTAATTTGTATACAATGTCTTGAAGTGTTTTATCGGACCTGAAAAAGAATAAGTGAACCATTGACTAATATGACAAAACTAAAAAGTTTTTACAGATTCTTTGTGTGTGTGTGTGCTATAGCATTTTACTTGATTGTGATGCTATCTATAACTACACTAAAATAAAAACTATGACAGTAAAGTTCTCTACACAGTAGTACTTTTTTAAATCAGCAGAAACATACTTTGTGCCTTTCAAATTACTAAATTTTCTAGTATGAATAGAGAATAGAGAGAATAAGGAAGAACTTTTAAAAATTTTATTCTCATCTGTCATGAAGTCAAGAAAGGAATACAAAAAGAAGAACTATTTCAGTTTTTAAAGGACAATAAAAAGTTAAAATCATTAGAATAGTACTGAACATTGTCTAAGCTTGGTCGCCATTAAAAGAAATTTCTAAGAAATTATCTTTATAAATTATTAAAAGACTACTCTCCACAAAGCACCAATCACCTTCTCTCTGTAAATTATGCAACTCCAATAACAATTACAAACAAAGACTTTAATCATTTTCCTACCTTATATTCAGCAGTGGTCTGGTTTTGTGAACTTGGACATCACAGATAGGACAATACTTGCTGGTCTCCAGGTAACGTACAATACACGTTTTACAGACTAGAAGTAGAAACATGTAAATTTAGAAATCAGAAGCTAATTAAAATAGTGTCAGAAACTGAGAATTAAAAGCAAGATGGTAAATACCAAAAGGAATTTCCAAGGAATCAAACTATTAATATCCTGACTACACTTACACATTGCATACTGGTAATAAAGTAGGTAGTAATAAAAAATCAATAAATTGAAGAGAAGAAAATGAGTCCTATCAGTCTGTACCAATATTCCCAAGGATTATGGTAAATGTTAATAATTCTTATAAACTTCAGGATGAACTACGGAAATATAGGTGACACAAAAGAAGGGAGCTAAAGCTTTGTACTTACAGGAATGTAGACATTCTATTATGGTTGTGGCATCAATGAAGTACCCTCCACAAAGCACACACATTAGGTGGGGATTTAGCTCAGTGATCTTGATTCTGGTTGTTCGATGCATTTCTGCTTGATGAAAGATCCTGTAAGACAGAGATATTGGCCATAATTCAAAGAAAATGAATCAAGATTATCTCTAACTCCTAGTAATTGTACACTCTGAAACGCTGAGGCATTCATAAAACTCGTTTAACACTGTACAGCTGGACAGTCCCAACGTTTTCTACAGAAGGAATTTACTAATCAGATCTGAGTGAATTCTACTGAAATGGTGAAAAAGATCCAACTAAAGTTACATCTGATCTTTCAGGTCATTCCTGGAGAGAGATGAAACGGTCTGGGGGTGGGGGCTGGGAGCCTAGCATATTTGAGCCTCTTTCTTCCATTTGTCCTCCAGCCTGGCAGCCCCAAGGCTGCTACTGACACCACAGTCCCCTAGATATCTACTAATCACTAGGGCTTGTTCCAGGTCTCCAAATTTATTGTAAAACTTCCTCACAGATCTTGAGTCGAAAATCCTGGGGTTCTGGTAGTTTTAGACGGTTCAAGCAACCAGAACCTGGCAGGTTTTTACGCTTACAAAAGGAAAACAAATTCTGTTCTATCTGCATCCCTGGAATTTCCGGAGCTGGGTGCTGGCCGGAGGAGAAGCACCTCTATTCAGCCTCTGGGCTGGGGCCTGAGCGCGGAGGACGGCCGGGGGGCCGGGATGCAAGGGGCGGATCCGGCGGCGCCCGGGGCTCCGTCTCGCTCCGGATTCGGAACTCGCCTCAGTCAGGGTTTCCATAGCAACTTACACTTACACTTGGCATCCGGCCACCGCTGCAACTCCGCGCAGAGCCCGGCCCGAGCCCCGAGCCTCCGCKGGCGTGCGGGGCTGACGAGCGGCTTGCGCGGGGGAGGGGCGGCGCGGCGCGGGGGCGGGGCCGGCTCGGGGGCGGGGTGGGTGCGGGCGCTGCCGGCTCGGAGGTGGGGCGGGCCCGCGAGGTCCTCTGGCCCGGGATCACCCGCGGCCGCGACCCGTCAAGCAGCTTAGGGGACCTCAGAGCCTGTGGCGGCAAACTGCTAAAGAAAATGCAAACTGCACTCCCGGCCATTTCGGACACTCTTGGGGGGCCTCTTTCCACGTAGACTGGGTGCAAAGACCTTGTTTCATATCTTGATTCTTTCAGACTGTCCTATTAGCAATCGCTAGGTCAAAAATTTCTCCAAGGGACCTTTTGAGAATTGCCAACTGTGCACTTAGCCCCAAACTGTCAAGGCTCAAGTTGCAGAGATGTTTACTGAACCGAACCTCTTTAAAGCTTCCTTCTCTAATAAGACGTTCTCCTGTAGATTAGATGAATCAAAGTTTTGGATGGGCTGAAAACTGAATTTGTTTTACAAAGCGGGTGGAGATGGGGGTGGGGGGCAAAAGCACTGTGCTTTATTCGAACAAACCATGCTGGAAGCTAGAAAAACTAATCGGTAGGATAGTGACAATATGTAAAGAACCATGTGACCAGCCCATTCCCAACGCTAAATCAACACCTTGTCAACCCACAGTAACGATAGGAGAGGAAAAACAAATGCCATTTTTCTCAGCCTAACGTCCATATAAACCCCCCTGAACCCCCACACGATGAAATAAAATTCTCAAAAGGTAATATACATTATAGAAAAGTCACGGTGGGGAACAGTCTGCAACAATACACCACAGGACAATCAAGGAAGTCAATTACTTCGTGTAGTAGTGCTGAAAAGTACCATTTCTTACTATCACCCTACTACATTCACTTTAGAACCTGAAATAGACTAAGGTTCTAGACCTGACTGGACTACTGCTGCCTTGAATGGAAATCTAGGAACTTGTGAAACTTGCAGTAAGATGCCTCTGAGGCTTTATTTCTTAAGGAATCTTAATGCAGAAGAGGGAAATACCAATCAACATACCTCAATAGCTGAAATTGAATTGAGTACTGAAAAAATGGCCCCAAACAAACCAAACCTCTTATGAAAGTGACCCCAGTGACAACCAGTAACCTCACCCAGAAAACTTCATGTGTTATTCCTCAAACATCTTTGGACTACTTGTTTAGAATAATACTGACAACATATGTTAACATAAATCTAAGTGGCCTGGCTGTAGAAGGAGCAGTGCCCTAAAGAGTAGCAATATTTAAAATTGTACTTGATGATTAAAGACCAGCCTTCTTGGTGCTTAAAGAAAACTCTCCTTGTGAAACCACAGGATCTTTCCTAGAAAGATAGTTAGCAAGGTGATAACTTCTATTTGCCTGTGAAAGTATATCACACTAACACCATGGATCATGAAGTTCACCAAGGGGCTCCAATAAAAACAGCTGCCTTTATTTCTTCTCTAACTTACAGAAAACCAAACACCACACAAACACAATAGTAACTTAGAGAATAATCAAACTTCAATGGAGGGTTATCAACTGGTTGGCTTTGAACATTTAAGTCCTATGTACTTGACCCAAAAACCCTTTCAAATTCATCCTAAGGCTTAATTCACACAACTCTCCCTCAGTTCAGAAGAATTTGGCCACAGTCCTATTAGTGTTTACAATGCAAATAAATATTACTTTGTTGCTTATATAAAAATCAGCCCTTAATCTTTTTATCCAATTTGAAAGTACTGACAATCTAATGAGGACTTCCAAAATGTTTGACATGTTTGATAAGGTTTAAGAAAAACGTCTTGCACCTTAGAAATAAAAACCTACTAGGTTTCAACAAAGAAAGTGCCCTTAAGCTACTAAAAATGCACCAACGAACATGCTGGTAATGTTCAAGAATTAAAACTTGCCATTATAGGATACTCAGCTGGGACTGTCAGTTTTTAATTGGAGGCCTAACACTAGTAATGTCAAAATGAAGGAAAACAGAAACAAGATCTTATGCTAACAATCAGCTTGACTACTGCAATCTAAGAAATGCAAATTAACTCCATAACTCTAGTTGGTGCTCACAGCTCTATATAAGTATGGCTAAAGTTGGGGTTAACTTGACTCTTTGGGAGAATTTTGCATATTTGGACACTTAAATACATCCAATAAATCAGTGGTAGAGTATCAATGGATTTATAAAATATAATTAAATGTGTAATTTTCTTACAAAAGCTTGTATGTGTGTGTATTTGCATGTAAATGGTCTTCTATGGCTTCAAAGATATTGTTACTAGGGGGCAAATTAATTTGTACAGGTAGGTTATTTCAAACATCTCTACACTTCGAAGGAGATGTATGGAAATGAACTCAAGTATAAAAATTTGGCTCATAAAATCAACTTCTGAGAAAATTTTCATTGGTCTACTTAAAACCCAAATGTTATTATTTGGACTAAACAGTCTAATAAATTGTACTGTCAACCATTTACATCCTTAAGTATCAGGTCTTTAGTGTACCTTATAATGTGTTTCCAAAACTTGGGGTTAAAATTCCTCTATAATTTGAGCTACTCCTAACACTCATCATAACACTAACTTACACTCGCGTTTGGATAAATATGCTGGGAATTTCGCCTACTTAAAGGGAAGGGGTTAATACATGATTCTCTTTCAAATATTGAACCGTGACCACTAAGCCCACTAAATCCTTTTATTGCAATTGGGAATGATCAAAGTCTCTCTACTTGTTTACTTCCAATTATTAACTGTAAATCTCTGGGGAAAAGATCATGCTCTATCGCTGTCAAGCCCAAATGACTGCGTAAACATAAGCAATCAACTTTTTAGTGCTCATTTTCTAAAGCATCCCTTTACCACATGACCTATGCTGACATTTAGCAAAACACATAAAACACAGTGGACTTAAGTCACGATTCTGGGAGCATCCCAAAGTAGAGGTAGAGAGAGAAGTCGCAATCTGTGCCAAGGGGTTGGGGGGAAAAAGGAAAAGGGGGGAAAGACGTGGAGAAAAGAAACCTCTACCAAGACTAACGTCCAGTCACCATCTTCACTTCAAAAAAAAGCTCCAAATTTGAAATGCCCACTTCCCGGTGAGCACGTCCCAACAATGTTCACAGCACTTGTCCAAGACTCTCAACAAATACCACCTTGAAAACTTTACCATTTTCCACACAAATGCAGAAGACCTTGGAAACAACTGGGAACCGCCATCTTACAAGCCATCCAATTTCACACAAGTGTCCCTCCAACTTAAGTTAATAACATTTTTGTTGGGGCTCTCTCCAGTCTAACAACCACCTTGGCGGGATCGCTGCCCCCCACGTAACCCGTCCCTATAAAATGGGGGCGTTCCCTCGATGTTCAAACCCCTCAAAAGCCCTTTCTTCGGGAGAGGAGGGAAGTCACTTGACCCAAGCAGCTCCCGATTTCAGGAGCCCGTCCCCGTTTCATCAAAATCTACCTCTCAACAAAGGGCGCTGTGGCCGGGAGAGCCGCGGAGGCTGGAAATAGAAGTGTTCTTCTCGGGGACCATGTGCGTCGCGAGGGTGCAGAGGGGCGCGCGGGGGAGAAAGGAACTAAAACGTGGGGCCGCGCGCGGCGCGTCCGGGCTGAGCGGGCGGCGGCGGCTGGAGCGGCGCCGAGCCCGGCTGGCGGCGGCGGCGCGGGCTGCGGGTCGGTCCCGGCGCCGCGGGAGGCGGCGGGCGGCGGGCGCGCGCTCGCGGCGCGGGGCAGGCGGCGCGCGGGCGGCGGCGGCGGCGGCGGCGGGCGGCGGGGCTCGGCGCCCACGCTGTCAGCGCCCTCCCGGCCGGCGCGGGCCAGGCGCGGGGGGGCCGCCTCTCGGCCACCGCGGCCGGTCCGAGCCCCGCGCGGCCCCCGCCGCCCCCCGGCCCAGTCCCGGAGGCGCCTGGCCTCCTACGTACCCGGAAAAAGCAGCCGGCGAGAGGCGATCGAAGCGGGCGGAAAAGACAATGAAAGTTAAAAGTCGTTCAGCAGAAAATGAATGTGAGCCAAGCGGCCATCTTGAAGCGAGCTGCAGACGCCGCTGTCAATGGGCAACGAGCGCAGCCGAGAAGAGCCGCGGCCGCCGCGCTCGGCTCATGCTGCCTCCCGAGCCCGGCCTCCTCCTCCTCCTCCGCCTCGGCCTCCTCCTCCTGGGCCTCCTCCTCCTCCTCCTCCTCCGCCTCGGCCTCCAACGCCTCCTCCTCCTGGGCCTCCTCCTCCTCCTCGGCCGCCGCCGCCTCCTCCCGCTCCGCACTCGGGGGAGGGAGCGCGCGGAGGGGGCGCGATCGGTATTATTCTGCGGGGCTGGGAGGTGTTTCTAATCCGGATCGGGGCTCCCTCGCCAACATCCCCATTGTCTCGCCCAGATCTCTGCCTTTAATACTACGATTATTATTTCATAGTTGCTGTGGGGGTAGGAAGGCGGGTGGGGGGCGCCGTGTGTGTGCGTGCGGGCGGTGAGGCGGGGGGAGGGGAGGAAGGATGAGGAGGGGGAGGGGAGGGTGGAAAAAAATGCACCGCTGAAGGCAGAGTGGAAACTGACACCGGCTCCAAAATGGCTCAGAGTCCGCCCGCCCCCTCCCCCTGCCGCCCCCCCACCGGGTCACGTGCTCCCCTCATTCCTTAAGGGCGGCCTGGGAATTAGTGTCGGTGTAGTCGGGCCCGTGGCCGCCCCCTCCCCTCCGAGCCGCGCGCCCAGCCCCCTCCTCCTCGCTCTGCGCCGCGGCGGCGCTGGCGCTGGCGCGGTCGCAGAGACATTTCTCCACAGCGCCACACGCGCCACCCTACTCTCGGCGCGGGCATCGCTCCGGCCCCGCACGCCGCGCAGCCCAGCCCACCCCCCGTTATTTCTTTCTCTCGAACGCCCGCCTCCGCCCGTGGCGCACTCGTCCACGGGCTCTCGCGGACCGGGGCACCCATCTGCTGCCCTCGGCGCGGTCCTGCCGGTTCTACGCGCCGCGGCCCAGACTCTGGCGCCGTGGCGCGGAACCTGCGCCGGAGTTGGGCTCACGGAAACAACAGCGCCCGCCCCAGTCCTCCCGCGGCCGCGCCCGCCCCTTCCCCCCTGCCGGCGACCAAGGCGGGGCGCGCGCAGCAGCGGCTAGCTTCGGGCCAGGGCTCCTCGCCCGGCGGGCGGCGAGGGTCGGACTGCGGGCGAGCCCTGCAGCGCAGGTAACGGACCGCCTTCGGCCGCCACTCGGCTCCTTTCCCGCAGCTGGGGTCCTCGCCGACCCGGAGAGCGCATCCTCTCCAACTATTGAATCCGGATAAAAAGCGGTCGTTAAAAGTTAACGCTAATCGTGTCTAGCTCCTCGCACAAAGTAATAATTAACACACCGACTCCAAACACAACATCACCACTCTTTTGTGGGAACATCAGCTTATTTATTCAGGGTGTAATATTACTTCCTTTCGTTAAGAGTTGAAAAAGACAAAACAGAAGGAATGTACAGTTAATACTAAAGACAATTAAAATACTTAGGCAGAATTTCCCTCTTAATCCTTTCATATGTGTCAAAATTGATGAGTATCATAAATTCAAAAGGAGTGATTTTTTTTTTTCTACTGAAAATGAGGACTTCCAGCTCGCACAAATGATGCTTCCACTGAAGGCAAGACGCATCTGGTTTTTCTCTAGGTTCGGCGATCTTTTGCGTCCCCAAGTTACAACTGAGTTGCTCTTTCCAGGCTTTTTGAAGCATCTTTAAGTTTCCCCACCAAGTCCTAAAATATGTAATATAATGCCATGTTTTAAGGATGAGACATGTAACGAAGTATCCAAGTTCGAGGGATACAAGAAAAAAGTCGGGAGAACACTGTCAATACAAGTTTAGAATTCACTGGAATTTTAACCTTTGACAAACCAGTATCCATGAAAAGAAGCATTTTCCCTAAAATATCTTCAAATCGGATATTTGCCCTCAGTTTGAAACATGATTTCTTATGGAATCCTCTTAACTGCACGGTGTATCTAAATTAAATGTCTCAAGTTATCTAACGAAGGTTATGCTGTGTGTGTGTGTGTGTGTGTGTGTGTGTGTGTGTGTGTAGAAAGTTTAAAGTTTGTTACATTGAGATGACTGCAGGAGATGTCTTTGAAAGTTTCATTTTTATCTAAGTTTCCAAGACTGATCTGCATTTTTTAAGTACTAAGAAATAAATTCGTTGTTATGCCCATCAATCAATGTACTTTTCAATTTTCCCAATCTTACACTGGCAGTATAAAATTTTAACATCATACTTTTCATAAAAATCATTTAAAACTGCTGCTTAACAACCCAATTTTGAAGTTTAATTCAATTTCTGAGAGGAAAGAAGATATTTTCAAAGTCATGCTTTTAATTTTACTGTATCTTACTTAATCAACCTCATGAATTGCAGGAATTTACACTAAACATTACACTTTAGAAATATTTTTTAATTAGAAGGAAGAGCACTATAGACTACTAGTAACATCTTCATTTCCAAAGTGAAGTCCATGTTAAAATATTGCTTTTCAAGCCCCTTTCTCATCTTCTTCTTAACCAAGAGTCATTTATCTGCTGACAACTGGTTATTTCTCTATTAAACTTTCCACACCATAATTCTCTTTATAAAGGAGCATATTCAAAGATACTAATACTGTACCTGTAATTGTTCCATGCTGCAACTAAAACTAATCTCTGGGTAGGATTGGGAATCAGTGTTCTAGGGAAGAAAAAATGCTGTTTATTTAAATCAAGAAAATTTAAATTTTCATTACATATTTCATTTTTAGACAGGGGTTGTCCATACATACCTCTACATTTAACGTCACCAAATATGCAGGTTTGTACATTTTATGAAGTTGACTGGTCTAAAACAATACAACATGTACATGTTAGTAATTATTTCTAAAAAGTTCCCTAAATCCCTTTGGAGAACAGTTTGCTAAACTTTACCTTTATCTGATATTCCAAGCGCCAAGAAACATCAGTTATATGAGGGAGAGATCTACCTATACTGAAAGATACAATGATAATTGTATATGGTATCTACAGAAAACTTTTCAGTATTTATCTTTTGCTAAGAATGTCTACCACTTCCTCATCTCCTTTTAATCCATTCTGAATTTAAAACATTGTTAAACTTCATTTCAAATTCTAAAGAGTAAAAGCATTATAAAATTATCTCAATTATCTTTTATCTTTAAAACATTAGCTTAACTTCAATTGTTTCATTTGCCCTTTGGCCTTTTTCTTTGGGTCAGGATCCCAGTTTTTTTGCATTATTTTGTTTCACACCAGCATTCTCCATTCATACCTGCAAGTGAAAAGTGCCTCAGCTTGACACCTTATACAGAACCTACCTTCCCAGTAGGATTTCTAGAGAATTCTTATTATTCTGGGGAGAGGGGAAAAAAAGAAAAAGAAAACACATCTTTGTAAATAGTGAAAAAGAAAAAGTGGTAATTGTTAATTTAAAAATTCAAAGTAAGAAACCTGATATTCTGTGCAAAACAGTTCTATTCGCTCTCTGTCAAATTTACAGTCTTCTAGATATGTGCTAGAGGGAGGGAAATGCCAAAGTTTAGTCTGCATTTTAAAAACTGAAATTGCAATCATAAAGATATTATTTGAAAATAAATGAGTATTTAAATAAATCCTGTACCTTAGAGTTGACTTGTCAGCTCGGTGCTTTCCTGCCTCCAGTATGTAAGTTGCAGCTGCCACATGACAATGTTTTAAAACCACAGGGTCAATATGTTTCAAGTCTGGGTGATCTAAAATGAATTAATTGCCAATGATGCCTGTGATAATAAGTTCTTTACAGTCATATTTCCAAAAAGGATATTTTAATTTAGATAAAAATCCCCTTTAACAAGATAACAAAAATAATTCAACTTTAGGAACTGTCAATTTTATGGAAATGAGATGAGCTGCAAGGTCAATTGCAAAACAATAAAGAGAACACATCAATAATCCTGCCTTTAATCTGTTTTCAATTACCTTCTTTTGCCTTAGCATTTTATTATTTTTAAAAAACATGGCTCCCAAAGAAAAAATAACTATACAGTGGTCATTCTAACACTGAAGTAAATTCAAAGGGAAAAACAAGATAAACATTTTACATGATGAAAATTTTATGATAACTTTCACTCTAAAAATAATGAAACTTTAGGGTAAATGGCTCCGTGGACATTAATACATCAAGAGAGGTGGAAAGGAGAGCATGAATTCAGAATATAAAATAGAAATTTCAAAATTCCAACAGTATTTTCAGGTTTTGACAGTCATCTTTTTTTTTCCTTTTGAGATTTACCCAGGTGGTGGTTACTATTTTAGTTTGAAGAACTTCCACTTTCATATTTTTTTGCACAAGTGTCTAGTTCATGAACTACAGGGAAAAAAACACAAAAATTTGAATTGTTGATACATTTAAGAAAATTATCTAAAAGCGGTCTGTCTTAAAATATTCTCCTAGTCCATACTGACACTGCACTCCGCAATCGCTGATGAGACCTCTTAAGAGACTCGCCTTCTGGTAACTGGTGCGGAACAAAACATTATGCATCCTATTTAAGGGATCTAGGGGAAGAACCGGTGTAAAACACACTRAGCAGGAGTGTTGGAGAGATAATAGGAACCCGAGGTAT